CCAGATGGGGAAGCTGAGGGAAGCTTTATGCAAAACCTGGCATCTGAATGGGAACCCTACTGCCTAAGTTTGAATTAGTTGATTGTATGATTAAAATTATCGAATATTAAAATTTATATTAAGAAATGATCATGTTTAAATAAAAGGTGATAATGAATATGCCAGCTGAGTTCTACTCATTTTGGTGACGAGAAGCATCCACATCCTACATCTGGGGTTCTGGTAAAGTCCCTTGAGAAGAGGAACAATAACGGATGATAAAATCATCACTGTTTGGAGAGCCAGGCATTTAGAGTTTTACAAACTTTATCCTCCCTAATAAGTAGCAAATCGTTACAATGCAGCCCAGGCAGTCAAACTCCAGGATCCACATTCTTAAGTCTCTGTATTAGGTTGCCTTTGTAAGGCCTCAGCGTCTGGCATTTTGTAATGGAAAAATCTGGGGTATGTCCACAGATTGATAATAAGTCCTTGATTTTAAAGGCTTGCCTTTCAAATCACTATGGTTGGCCACATAACGTTTTTAGCCAGAACATTTTGCTAATTATAACAACAGGAAAATAACAGTCACTTCTTGATTATAAGTGTTAATGGAGGAGAACAGTAGCATCGATAATCCAATGTAGTGAACAAAAATCACCTGTTGGTTGATTACATTAGATTACTTTAAAAACTGCATGACATTTTTGTTGCTAATTATGTGCTATTTGTATACTTTTTATAACAACATTCTTTGGCATATTCGTAGTGAGGCAAGGTGGTGGAAGAGACTGGGAAAAGGTTAATCAGGATTTAACATTGCCTCTTGGATATAAACAACCACAATCTTGATGTTGGGAATAACACAATCATTTTATCTTAATATCAAAGCCTATGTACCTCCCACCTCACAGGCTGGAAGAATTAAGAGTTTACCTGAGAAATGAAGCTTATCATCCATGTCTTCTGTGCCCATGGAAAGGTGCTGCTTTGTATGTAGCATGTGTGGGCTCCACAGAAAGTAGGTACACTGAGAGAATCCAAATATCTGGCAGAATAGAATTTCTTTTCATACAGTTAAATCACAAGTGGATTCCACACACAAAAAAGAGGGTAAGAGTAGGCACTTGGAAAGGTTAAACAAGCAAAGCAAATTTTCCTAGTGCTCCTCCTTCAGAAAAAAATCTCAAGCAGTAATATATTCATTCCACTCGAGTGTATTACTCGGGCTAAGGGCCAAAGAAAGTCCCCTTGGCTGGCTAAGCATGGAAAATCTGTTACTTATACCAACCCAGCATTTCTTCTGTTACCTTTGGAAAACAGCAACTTAATTTTCCTTTAACTATCCCTCCCCTATGAGTACAGGCTTAGTCTGATCAAGGTACTCTGGCTGTGCAACTCAAATGGAACTGATCACTTTCCCAGGAATCTGAATATTTAGCATAATGGCATCAAAATTGGAAACAAAGCTGATTCATCCCCACAATAGCACCCCAAAAAGACTTTCCAAAGTCCCCACTGTCTGCACCTGCAGAGTGGCCTGGTTCTTATTCTCCTCAAGACTTGGTCCTTCAGTGTTTCCTTGGCTCATGTGATCTAACCTGTGTCATTCTAATTCCTTACTTTTTGTTTGCTCAAGTTACCCAGAGTTGTTTCTTTGCTTACAACCAGTGGACCCTACCTGAGGCAACCATGAAAGCCAAAAAATGAGACAAGCTTGGATGGAGGTGCTTATGGGGCACTTTCTAAAACATCTCCAGCTCAGTTAGATTCAACTAATCCAGGACCTCATTTACCCGATGATGAAGCCGATTGGTCAAATACTTCTTCCAGGCACAATGTTAGAAGCCAGGCCTTTTAACGCTTTTCAGCGTATCATGAAAGTAATGACACAGTCTTCCCTGGTTGGTTTGCTATGGCACACAGGCAGGCAACTGATGCAAAATGCTACTTCAAAGACCCCTTCATTCAATTAATCAGTGAGTATTTATTGCAAGGCACTGTGCTAGGCACTATGGAGAGTACATGGAAGATAAGACCAAAGTCCCTGCCCTCAAGGAGCTTACAATCTAGTTGGGAAGACAAGGCATACATACAAGAAAAGTAAGTAACAATACAGGAGTTAAATTAAAATGCAAGATAACAGTACAAGAGATTTCCAAAAGTAGTATCTGATTAATTACTAAATGAGCGGCATTGATAGGGGTTGCAGCTAATTCCGAGGAAGAATGTCATAAAGGACTGAAACATGGGAAGGCTTTGCAGACAAACTGGGGCTGGAGCTACTGTAGGACAGCTGGGACGTGGATGGGAGAGAAGGGTGGAGAGGGAATTTCAGGAAGGGGCAGCCATAAGACCAAAGGCACAGAGGTGAGACCAAAAGCAAGCAGTGTTCAAGGGTCAGGGAGGGCTTAGTGTGGCTGGATGCACAGTTAAATTGTTTTGGATTAAAAAGGGCCTTAAGGACCAGGTGTGGTGGCTCATGCCTATAATCCCAACACTTTGGGAGGCCAAGGCGGGCAGATCACTTGAGGTCAGGAGTTTGAGACCAGCCCGACTAATATGGTGACACCTCGTCTCTACTAAAAATACACAAATTAGCCCAGTGGAGTGGTGGGCACCTGTAATCCCAGCTACTCGGGAGGCCGAGGCAGGAGAATCACTTGAACCCAGGACAGGAGGCGGAAGTTGCAGTGAGCTGAGATCGCAACATTGCACTCCAGCCTGGGTGACAGAGCAGGACTCCGTCTCAAAAAAAAAAAAAAAAAAAAAAGCCTTAAATGCTCAAGTTTAGAACTTATCCTTTTGGAAATGGGGGGTGAGGGAAACAACGCATATACTTACAGTAAATATACAAAAGACTTAGCTAATCAAGAGAAAATATTCAAGTCTCATCTTCAAGACATTTACTTGTGGATTAGGACCCTCTCTACTTCTAAAGAGGATTTGAAATCATGTCTTCAGGGTTGTCAATTCCAAAGGAATAGCTCTGGGTCATTTAGATTTGGGTAGAGACTTTTGAGTCCCTCTATGATCCCAAATTATAATTAGCACAAAGGTAAGCTAACAAATTCCCTGACAGGCAGGCAGGAAAAATGCTCCCAAAAGACAAGTATCTTTACAAATGACAGAATATTTATTAACAATACCTTTAAAAAAGATTACATATGCTAGATCACTGGTAAATATCATTTACACTGGGGTTGGGAACTCCCTGGGTGTCATTTTTTTTTCATTCATTTTATTATTTTGTTGATTTTTTTGCATGTGATTTTAAATTTTATTTTATTTTAACATAGAAGTAACCATATCAAACTAAGAAAGGAACACAGCTTGAAATACTGACAATATATTTTTTTTCCGGTTACCACCCTAGTTTTTACACAAATGGAATCCTGATTATGACTTTATTGGATAAATATAAGTAGAAGGTTGAAAACTTATATTATTTGTAAGCAAAAATGACAAATTACAGCAGATTTGAGTTCTCTGAGAAAGAAGAAAAGGTGGCAGCATGTTTACATGAGAAAATGTTTATAGAAAATTTCATTGCCTTTTATGTCACTGTTCCACTAGCGTTTGCTTACAAAACCTTTCCCATTGTAACAAATAGTTCTTTTCATAAGAATACAGTTTTGTTGATATTGTCATTTTCCAATGTGTGATTTTAAGAGTTAGAAGGTAAAGTATATAAAGCAACTAGGCTACCTATTGCAAAACAGAATCATCAAGAAACCATACCATTGTACTAAAGATCTTTTATAGAGTCATATTAAAAATTCTTGGCCGGGCGCGGTGGCTCAAGCCTGTAATCCCAGCACTTTGGGAGGCCGAGACGGGCGGATCACTAGGTCGGGAGATCGAGACCATCCTGGCGAACACGGTGAAACCCCGTCTCTACTAAAAAATACAAAAAAAAAAAAAACTAGCCGGGCGAGGCGGCGGGCGCCTGTAGTCCCAGCTACTCGGGAGGCTGAGGCAGGAGAATGGCGTAAACCCGGGGGGCGGAGCTTGCAGTGAGCTGAGATCCGGCCACTGCACTCCAGCCCGGGCGACAGAGCCAGACTCCGTCTCAAAAAAAAAAAAAAAAATTCTTGCAGCAACTATTTGTTGAAATAGGAGAAATCTTCCAAACTCCATATGTAATTTTGATTCAAAAGAAGGGCTCTATTATTACAGAGATACACATATTATATATAAGAAATTTTGTAAAGAAATTACGAATCCATTGACAGAGAATTACTTTTTTTTAAAATTTACATTCAAAATAGATACAGTTAAAGATAATAAAATTATCTTTTATCCTTTGAAAGACTTGGTTGACTATAGTAACTTTTGGTCTATGTTACTACAGGATATATGTTACTTCAAATTTAATGTCTAAGATAGTGCTACTACAAAGACAATGCTAACTTAGTTGAGTGAAAAGAAAATCTTACTGTACAAATGCTAAATTCAGGGATGGGAATATTGCACAAGGTGCCTCTTGGGCAGTAAATTTAGCTTTTGAGATTGCAGCCATTCCTGAAACCATCTCAAGTTGTATTGAACAACAAAATTCACAACGGCATGGGGAACATATTGTACATGTCAAAAGGACTTGATTCAATGCATTAACCACTAGAAGAGTAATTTGCATACAGCAGCCTTGAGTTATAGACCAAGTCTTCAGCTGTTCTGCCACGAGATCCTTGTAAAACTGTACAAGTAATTTGCAATTGATTTACCAAGATGAGTTTCAAACTCTGTCTTTAAAGGAAATATTTTCAAATTATAATTGCATGATTGTGTTGTCCATAGCATTTTACAGCTGAGGAAAAACAGTAATATCTACATTATGTGTTAACTTTAAAAAATTCTATAAAACACTAAATATGTAATAAAAAATATGCATATAAGGACATATGTAAACTGCTTTGGTAACATCATATTACAGATGTCTTCAGTGCATTGCAGAGTTTCCAAAGAAACTTCAGACAAAGCTAGATTTGCTTTGAGGAAGTACTGTATAATGCCATTCCTAAAGAAGCAAAAAACATTTTTATTCCAGTAATAAGATGTACTTGAACAACAATATTACTTAGTACTGGGTGTCTTCAAAACAACTAGCTAAATGTTGCTTATATTATAAACAGCAAGTCCTTGAGATAACTTTTGTCATAAACTGGACCTAGCTGTGAGGGAAATCATTATTGTACTGATGGCTGACAGCGTACATGCATTCGAAGTGGAAGCCCCGGATCCTCTTGCGTAGGCATCTGAAAAGAGAGAACAAATTCACTCAAAACAGCCCCATCCTGGCTTCAAAGGGAAGAGCGGCCACGGGGCTTTCTGAAACAGCAGAACTGCGTGGATTCTACTAGAAATGATGATTAAGATCTTAATGGCTTTTAAATATCAGTTCTATGACTATCTAGCTACGAACCTGCGAGTAGGGTAGAGGACAGCCCTGTACCTCTGTCAAAGCATTTGTAAAATAAGGATGTTCCCATCTAATGTGAGAAGAAACTTCAATATTACTAGTAACAGTACTGATAGATACCATGCCACGTCAATGATGCAACAAAATGAAAATTGCTACTCCCTTTTGAACTCTATGAAAATTGCTACTCCCTTTTGAACTCTATGAAAATTGCTACTCCCTTTTGAACTCTGCGAAAATTGCTACTCCCTTTTGAACTCTTTGTGCTGGGCACAGATGAATATGACACTTAAATCTTGCAAAAACTGGATGAAGGCTAGGTATTATTATTACCTCACTTAACAGATGTGGTAATTTGTGCCCAGATCACCCAGCTAGTAAATGGCTGAACTGGGGTTCAAACCCATGTCTGTTTAAATCTACCCTTTTTCTCCAAACAAAATAGCCTCAATCCTTTTTACATTTTCTTATGGGTCTTACATTTTTCATAGTAAGAAGCTATCAACTGTCATTCGGGGGCTCTTCAATCTTGTAAGATCTCTTTGACCAACCTAATGAAAAATTCCTTGAAACAGATCATGTTTGGCTCACAGTCACTTCCTTGTTACCTAATAATTACACCAATATAATTGCTTAATATATGTTTTTGTAATGAATAAAACCAGGAATCATCAGTCTACCTAAAACTACCAATCCCTGCAATGATAAGAAAGCATGAAGTACAAGGTCAGATTTTTAATGAAGTGAGATAAATAAACCCCAGTCTTGTATTTTCATGGCCTGGAGATTACTTCCACATCTCACCAAAAATCTGGCTCCCTTTCAACAGAAGTTAGAGGCTTTGTTTGATGAAGTGTAGAATCCAATTGTCCCTGCTTTTAAGACAAAAATGCCTTTTGTGTTTGTATGAAAAAAAAAATGCAGTAAATATAAACTCCATCCAGAAACACTGGCCTATCACCCCTTAGCAGAGGGATGTTACATGACTAAAAGTCAGGATGGTGGTGAGGATTTTGTCCATAATTTAAAATATCATCTCTTTACCGATGTCTTGAAAATTTATATCTCCAGCCTTCAATGCTCCCCTAATCTCCAGAATGCTAAATCTGAAAGCCTGTGAAAATCTACACTTAGACATCTAACCGCAGTCTTTCTTTTCTTATTGCTGTAAAATACACATAACAAAATTAGCATTTTAACTCATTTAAAATGTACAATTCAGTGGTACTAAGTATACTCCAATGTTGTGCAACCAGCACCACTCTCAAGCTCCTCAACCTTTTTGTCACCCCAAACGAAGACCCAGTACCTAAGCCCCCACTCCCCACTGACCAGCCACTGCCAGTCACTAGCCTCACTCTGTCTCCATGGATTTGGCTGTTTTTTTTTTTCTTTAAATAAATGAGATCACACACAACAACAAAAAATAATACGCTGCTAAGATATTTACAAACATGGTATTTGTAAAAATAGAATTGAATGTATTTGCTCAAAAAGAATATGCTAGTCTCACATGCTATTCAACAATATTTGAAAATGAAGATAATCTTGACTATAGAGAGACATACACATTGATGCACATGTTACATATACCCATTCAAAATAAATAGTAAATTCAAAATATTTCCAAGACATTGAACTGCATATACTGTTTCACTGGAGAAAAACTGCTACAGCATACTTAACAATGCTTTTCCTTCTTCCTTCTGACTGAATCATGCTTTTAACTTTCTAAGCTGTAATTCTGGGGTTACATAGATGCATAGAAAAATAAACGGGCTGACACTGAAAAACCTTAGTGACTGATTCCTGTCTGCTTTAATCTGATTTTTGATTAGCAACTGAGTAGATCAGTCAACACGGGCAAACTGATTTTTGCATGAAACTGCCTATGGCCAGCAAACATCTGGAGAAGGGGGGTAATGTCCTCCATTTTATTTTAAGTCTTCTTTTGCAGGCTGAATGTCTTTCAAGCCCTGACTCAGCTGGAAGGCTGATAAGATAAGACAGGCAGGAGAAAAGGGAGAAAAAAAGGCATTCTCACTTGATATCTTTGGAATTCGAATTTGTTCACTGCTGCTGCCATCTCCTCCATCGCTGAATGGCTTAATTTCTATTATATAATCTTCATCGAAAGGCAAAGAAAGCTCCACCGATGTTTTATTTGTTTCAATGACAGATGTGCTGCTTTGTCTGTTCCATCTGTACAAGACCTGCCAATACAGAAAGAACAGGTGTCACCTGCCGTCTTCACAAAGGCTCCAAAGATGGAGCATTCATTTGTTTTCACCTCTGGGCACCAGCAAAATGCAGGGAATGTAGAGGTTGTCTGGCTGCCCACTTGCATTTGGAAGGCTCATTTGCGGCGAGAGCCATGACTGCAGCTACCATTTTATTCCGAGGAAAGAGCTGAAAGGATATTATAACAGGGGTGTCAGCAACATGATTCTACCTACTGCCTAGCCTCTCGGAGGCTCAGTTGACACACCTGGGAAAATGGAAAAAATGAGTAGCTCCTTAAGGATGTACAGTGCTGTTACACATCAGGGGCTTTGGCATCAGAATAAACTTGGCCACTGGGGGATCACAGGCCACTTCACCTTTTTGAGCCTTACTTCAGTCATTTGTAAAGTGGGGACAATAATACCCACTCTTCTGGAGTGTGTTTTCAAGATTGCACAAGGAGGCTGGGTGCAGTGGCCCACGCCTATAATCTCAGCACTTTGGGAGGCCAAGTTGGGTGGCTCACTTGAGGCCAGGAGTTCGAGACCAGCCTGGCCAACATGGCGAAACCCTGTCTCTACAAAAAATACCAAAATTAGCCAGACGTGGTGGCACACACCTATAATCTCAGCTACTCTGGAGGCTAAGGCAGGAGAATTGCTTGCACCGGGAGGTGGAGGTTGCAGTGAGCCGAGATCACGCCATTGCACTCCAGCCTGGGCGACAGAGCAAGACTCAAAAAAAAAAAAAAAAAAAAAAAAAAAAGATTGCACAAGGTTTGAATCTGGTGAGGGCCTAGCTTAGAGGAAGCATGTAAAAAATAGTATCTCTGAAGGCTTAAAGATAATCAGAGAACATACATGGCAAAGGTGAGAGCACAAGCCAGGCACAGTAACTTATGATCATGAGTCTTAGAGACAGGACGTTTCAGCACAGGGAGAAGATATCTGAAAGGCAACAGTAGTAACCTCCCATTCCTTCCCTCTGGAACCCCATTTTGTGGGGCTAGGTAACAAAGAGGCAGCCATTGTCACCTTGGACGTATCTGGAGCTTGTAACAGTCCTGTTTTCATCTTGGGTTCTGAGTCTGGAGTGGGATTCATTTGATGAGGTGGCCAACTAGCTTCCTAAAAACACATTCACCTACCTGGGATTGCCTGCTGTGACTGGCATGGACTCCAATCAGGAACAAAATATACAGGTCTGGGAAAGTGTGCCTTTACCTATAGAACCACTAAAGCTCATCCTCTGCAGTTTCCCCTGACAATTAAAAAGACAGGGTTGGATGAGGTCAGTGGCTTTTGGTCCTGGCTGCATGTTAGAACCATTGGGGTGCTTGTAAAATACTTATGCTATAGCTCAGTGGTTTTCAACAGGGTGGGAGGGGCAGGGGAGCAATTTTGCCTCACAGGGAGGTATCTGGCCATGTCTGTAGACATGTTTGTCTAAACAGGCCCTGTTGTTGTAGTGGACAGAGAGACCAGGGATGCTGCTGAACAGTCTACAATGCCCAGGGCAGCCTCACAACAAAGAACTCTCTAGCTCAAACTGTTGACTGTGAGGGGGTCAGAAACCCCTCCAGCTCCACTCTAGTCTGCCTAAGACTGCACAGAGGTGCGATCCAGGCTGTAGGTTTTTTTTTAAGATCAGCAGGTGATGTTACTGTGGGATAGGCATCATGGATTAGATGAATTCGACGAGTAGTTCTCAAATTCAAGCGTGACCAGAATCACCTGGAGAACGCGTTCGAACACAGATTGCTGGGCCCCATTCCCGGATTTTGTGATTACTTCTGGGATGGGACCTGAAAATCTGCATTTCTGACAAGTTCTCAGCTAATGCCAGTGCTGCTGGTCCAAGGATCATGTGTTGAGAAGCACGAGATTAGCTCATCCTTCCCTAAGATCCCTTGTAAATTCTGATCTGCTGAGGCTAGAGACATAAGGTCACTCTCGTGTCTCAAGACAAAACCAGACACAAGTGAAATTTGTAAAATTCCCTTAGAATGGTTTAGAACCCATCTGTTCCCTGGCATTTCATCACCTTAATTGATGTCTCTCTAATACAAGGTGGAAAACACAATTTCCTTAAGGTAGAAAGATTCATAAGCGTCCCCTTCTTCTCCGCAGCATCAGTTGTATCAGACCCAGCATCCCCTTGCTAATGATTAGGCACAAATAAATCCTCAGGCACATTCAGGAGTGTCAAAGTTTCTCATCACAGCCCTCCAGGAGAATGGGCTGGCTGATGGGATGCAAGGTCACATCTGGCTTTGAGGAATAAATTGCTGCTTTGATTTACCTCTGGTCCTTGCAAGAGCTCAGAGGATTCAACTTGTTTCAAATATAAATCCAAAAGAAACACTTCCAGGAAAAAGCAGCCCTTTTATCAGCACTGCTTATCAGTCTTGCAATATCAGGGACTGCAGCAGAACCCAAATAAAGTCCTGCAAAACCTTTATTTACACCAAACACTTTGTTGAGCTGATTGACTTGAAGGCTGCGCTTGCATTTGATATAATCTAGAGTGGAAGACAAGGGGAAAGAATGGATTTGTGGGAACAATGATAATAGCAGCAAATATTATAGACTACTTCCATTATCGAATGTCTGAACACTGTATGTTCTAAATCAGGGGTGTCCAATCTTTTGGCTTCCCTGGGCCACACTGGAAGAAGAAAAATTGTCTTGGGCCACACATACAATACACTAACACTACTGATAGCTGATGAGCTTTACAAAAATTGCAAAAAAATCTTATGTTTTAAGAAAGTTTATGCATTTGTGTGAGGCCACATTCAAAGCCATTCTGGGTCACATGCAGCCTGTGGGCAGTGGGCTGGACAAGCTTGTTCTAAACGCTTACATGGATAACCTCTTAAGGAAGGCAATGTTATTATTCTGATTTCAGAGATGAGAACCTGAGACCTGGAGAGGTTAAGCAGTTGCCCCAGGTCCCATGACTGATGGATCCTGCATTCAGACCTAGGCAGTCTGTGCTCCAGAGTCTGGATTTTTTTTTTTTTTTTTTTGAGACAGAGTTTTACTCTTGTTGCCCAGGCTGGAGTGCAAAGGTATGACCTCAGCTCACTACAACCTCCGCCTCTCGGGTTCAAGTGATTCTCCTGCCTCAGCCTCCCAAGCAGCCACCGTTACAGGCCTGTGCCACCATTCCCTGCTAATTTTGTATTTTTAGTAGAGATGGGGTTTCACCATGTTGGCCAGGCTGGTCTTGAACTCCTGACCTCAGGTAAGCTGCCCGCCTTAGTCTCCCAAAGTGCTGGGATTACAGGTGTGAGCCACCGTGCCCGGCTTCAGAGCCTGGATTTTTAACTAAGACTAGCTTGGCGAGCACCTGTAGGGCTCTGGACAAATTGCTTTCCCTCTCTGGCATCTGTCCTGGGGAACGCAAACCAAGGGAATTAGACAGTAAAAAACTAGTGGCCCACGGGTCATAATCAGTCTGCATATATTATTTGTTTGGCCGTCATAGTGTTAATTTTTTTTTGAGTTAGATGTGACCATTTCAAAACAAAGAAAATATACATTAAAAATTTGTGGGTTCTACTGAACAACTGGAAGATATGGCCACACTGATTGCTGTGCTTTGGATGCTTGTCCTCTCCAAAACTCATGTTGAAATTTGCCATTTTAACAGTATTAACAGGTGAACCTTTAAGAGATAATTAGGCCATGAGGCGATTAGGCTCACCCTCACAGATGGAATTAGTACTGTTATGAAAGGGCGAGTCAGCTCTCTATCCCCCTCCCTTCTCCCTTCTTCCTCACTCTCCCTCCCAGCACTGGGTGTCAATAAACTTATGTTCATATTAATTGCCCAGTCTCAGGTATTCTGTTCCTGAGTAGGACTCTACAAAAGTGTGATCCAGAATAAAAGAGACTAAGCCAGTGGTCTATATTCCTGTCTGGCAACAACTGGCTGGAGTTGAGAAGTCTCATTCTGAACAATCACAAACTGCAGTTGGTCATAGTCCCAACACTTCCAATGTTGCTACATTGTCATATGCCTACCTCAGGACCTTTGCACCTGCTTTTTTTTTTTGGCAGTACTTGGGACATTCCCAGAGAGCTGCCAAGGCCCAAATGAAATCACACCACTTGAAAGTGGCTCCTTAGCCTTTATATAAAATAATAAATTTCTCCTGTCTACTCCATGGCTTTCTCTATTCCCCTCACTCTGGCTTCTTTTTCTCTGTAGTACTTTGTTATCACTTACTATATTTATTTATTGCTGGCAGGCAGAAGAACCAACTGGCTAAACGTAGAACTCAGGATCCATACTGCTGTATTCAGATCCCAGGTCTTCAACATACCAGCTATGTGAAAGGCAAGTTACTAAACTCTGTGTCATAGCTCTTCATCTGTAAAACTAGGGATAATAACTGTACCTACCTTCATGGGTTATTAAAAGGTTAAGATGAAGCTGGGCATGTTGTCTCACACCTGTAATCCCAGCACTTTGGGAGGCTGAGGCAGGCGGATCACCTGAGGTCAGGAGTTCAAGACCAGCCTGACCAACATGGTGAAACCCCATCTTTACTAAAAATACAAAAACTAGCCAGGTGTGGTGGTGGACACCTGTAGTCCCAGCTACTTGGGAGGCTGACGCAGGAGAATTGCTTGAACTCGGGAGGTGAAGGTTGCAGTGAGCTGGGATCACACCACTACATCCACCCTGGGTAACAGAGGGAGACTCTGTCTTAAATAAAATAAAATATAAAGTTAAGATGAATTGGAACAGTGCTTAGTATATGTATTAGTAGTAGTTTCTGAATCGACTGAACATAACTCATTTATGTTATCTGCCTGGCTCTGTAGGTAGTTTAATTTGTATACTAAAATCAGATGCTCTACTTTTAGCTCTAATGTCATAAAGTAGCTTAAGGATTTGTGTTGGCAAAATATTTGGGGCCTCAAACTTTCTAAAGTCAGTTTCTTGTTGAGACCATCTACCCAAGCTGAGATCTAAA